CTTTTACGTAATAAGAAAAAACAAGAGGGAACGTTGTGAGTCCCTGAAGTGGCCGCTACTCTACTTTTATATCCGTACTCAGAGAGCTCACATATAGCTTCTCTTCACGCACACTGCACAGGGCAGAGTGTGTGCGAGCGAGAAAAATATTCAGTAGCGCCGCATCGCTGGAGGGGGCGGGGTAGGCAACTGAAAATACCGGATATAATAATGATCCGATCTGTTCCAGATTCGACAATCTGGTAGACATGGTCATTTATTACGAAATTGTAGTTTTTGTTTTCTTGTATCTTTTATAATTGTGGATGCCACAGATTTTCGTCTTTTTTGGGGGCGAAGCGACGTTTGTCAGTACACATGGTTCGAAACTCAGTTGAAATTCGCCTGTAATAGATTTCTTTGACACTTTTGATAGTGTCATTTGCGGTTGTATGTTATAACAATCAAGTACACAAATTTACAATTCCAAATCATTTTTCGAACATCAAAGATCATTGAACTTCAGACCATAGTATATTGGGCGACTTTTCAGATTCAAGCAACCGACAAACAGTCCTCACCATCAGCACTGCCATGAAGCAGAGGCGAGGGCAGAATTGATCGAGTACATTTGCTGTGGTTTGAGCTCCTTCCAATGATGAGGAATACCCGGCGAAACTTGTACGGCTGGGTTGGCCTTTAGTTTGGGCAATCCTCTCCTCTTTCCGTCATTAGGATATGGCTATGGTTTGTGTCGTTGTGCCGTTTGTTTTTACTCTTTCACTTTATGTTTGGCTGTGATACAGATGTCAGTTCATTGCTCCCGTCGAGGCTGAGCATTGAACTTGCCAACAATGAAAATTGTCGTCCTGTTAAATTTATGGTACATTGCCCTAATTATACCCGTACTCAAAAAGAGTTAAGGGGTATATTAGATTTGTGGTAAAAGTGGATGTGTGTAACGCAGAGAAGGAAACGTTTCCGACCCCATTAAGTAAATATATTCTGGATCAGCATCAATAGACGAGTCGATATAGCCATGTCTGTCTGTCCGTCCGTCTGTCCGTCTGAACGTCTTGTTTGTCGCCTGGATCTCAGAGACTATAAGAGCTAGGGCAACCAAATTTGGTTTCCAGACTCATGTGATATCACAATGTTACAAGTGTTTGAAAATTTCGCCCCGCCTCCTTCCTTTGTTTTTTAAAATTTATATTTTAAATTTACCTATTAAATATTCCAAAAAATTTCCTTAAAATCGGTCTAGCCGTTTGGGAGGAGGAGGAACAAAGCAAACGAAAAGGGGTTGTACATTTTGTACCTGATCGCGTTCCCAATGGGCAGTTGGGCTCGCAACCTTCAAAAAGGTATTTTTTGTTCATATTTTCCATATTTTAGGTTTGGTTAACGAGTTTTAGCTCCAAAGTTTCTCCATATATAACGAGCAATACCTTAAACAACGTCTAATTAATGCACCTATACACAAACAAATAAAGAATATAGGATATCATTTTTTTCTCACTTTTCCTGAGTTTTTAAAGCCAAAATTTCGTAAAAAATACCGCACAAAAATCATCATTTTTCCATTTCAATGCTTTTCCCAGACGGTAAGCTGGAATCACATCTTTAGAACCAAACGTAAGATACTAGAGTTATGTGAAAAAAAAGCCCTACCTCTGAAAAAAGCTTTAAGCCTAGTACTCAGATCCAAAAACTGTTTGCCAGCAAACAAATGTCATATATTCTTCGAGCAGCCAGTGTGTGACCAGAGGTGTGCACTGCTTTCCGAACGGTTACACTGCTCATACCGCTACTTGGTTTTGCTTAAAGTTAATAAAATGCACTTCTTCGGCTGGGGCCGCTCTTCCCCAGCCATATCCTGGGCTCCCCAATATTTTATTGGCAAGGTAATGTGTCTGACACCGTGAAGACAAACTGTTTTGAAAACAATATTTGTTTTATATTTATGAAAATGAATAAAAATAATAAATTATAATATCCATATAATTGTCCTTTATATAATGCTGCATTAATTAGATTCTATTTGTCTTATTATTATAATATTTCATTTGGTTTTTTGTTTTCTTATTGCAATGTTTGCTTCGTGTTTTCTGGAAAATTATATCAAATTGATATAATTTTCGAGGTGGGTCGAAACATACCAAAAAAACAAGCATATACTTCGGATACTTTTCCAGTATATAACGACCATTTTGTTTGTTTATCTGAGTACTGCCTTCCGTACAGAGCCTAGAAAACAGTTTTTGCCGTAAAAAATTTCTTACCGGTTTCATACGGATATCAACCCTGATTCTGTTCGCGAAGTGTTTTTTTCGGTCTGAGTACTAGGCTTTAAAAAAAATACCAGACTTCAAAAATTCTTCAAAAGAAAGTTCTGTCATAGAAAAAAACCATAATTCTTTAAACAATTTTAAAGTCCCATATCTATCAGAAAAACTCGGTTTGGATCCTTGAGAAAAAAAGTTCGATTTTGTCGAGTAGTGTAATACAATAAACATGCGAAACAAGTTCCACATAAAGTGGTTGCAGAGGTTTGAAAAAAGGGGTTTAAAAGTGCACACTAAATAAAAAGGAAGTACTGTAAGTTACAGCCAGTCCGCTCAGTTTTTTTAACAAATTTGTTCTGTTAAGGCCTGTCTCCAGGCCTTTTAAACAGAGCCAACTTTGAAATTCTTCTAGAATAAAAAAAGGTAAAACGAGAAGGAACGTGTGAGTCGTACTCAGTAAGTAAATACATTTTTGAGCTTATGATTTTTTCGAATTTTAAAATTAAATTAAATTAAATAATTAAATTAAATTTTTTGCTACATCTGTTATCTACATCTACATTTACAATGTATATTATACATCTAACATGTAGATTGTACATGTTTCATTTAGGTTCTACATCTCCTCCGCTAGGGGTTGCTCGCGCACAGAACGCGGCAGAGTGTGTGTGCGAGAAAGAGATAGGTAGCGGGTCTCTGGCTGAAGTAGGCGGAAGAACCAACAGAAAATTTCTTCATTCTGGCTATAATTATGATCCGATCTGATTCAGATTCGGCAGTCTGGTAGATATGGTCATTCTCTCCGATCTCGTCCTTTGTGGGGGCGGAAGGGGGCGGGGCGAAATTACTTGAAATACACTTGTAGCAGTGTGATATCACATGAGTCTGGAAATCAAATTTGGTTACCCTAACTCTTATAGTCTCTGAGATCCAGGCGCTCAACAAGACGGACGGACGGACAGACAGACATGGCTATATGGACTCGGCTATTGATGCTGATCAAGAATATATATACTTTATGGGGTCGAAAACGTTACCTTCTCTGCGTTACACACATCCACTTTTACCACAAATCTAATATACCCCTTAACTCTTTTTTGAGTACGGGTATAAAAATACACTCTGACGATGAAGTGATTGTGTTAGTGGGGGCATATATTGTTGAAAAACAAAAAATAATAATTTTCATCTCTCTTTTTGGTTTTGCGGACAGTTTTTGCCTACATCTTGCACCATTCACTTCAGGAAGAATTGTAAAGTATATATTCCTGAGCTGTGCATCATCTGTTCTCGCAGTCCACACACGGTCCCGATAGGCAACCATCAATATAAATCTGTGGATTTCGCTCATGTTGCTGGATACTCAAGCCAGGAAACGTAAACGAAAAATTCCTGCCACAGTTTTTTTATATGAATTTTGACAGGAATTTTCCGATTCTGCGGTGCTGGATACTATGCTTTAACAATTACAATTTTTTATGACAGCCAGAATGAAAATAGAGAAGAATCTATTTAAATTTTCTCAGTGAATACACTCCTGATTTTTTTCATTACTGCTTCAAAAAATGTGTTTCCTGTGTTTATAAAGGTTTTTTTTTGTATATTGATCTTTAAAAATATAAAATCATGATATTTCTGCGAATTATTCAAACAATTATGTTTACTAAAGGCTCAGTAATCTTTTTAATATAATTTAATGATATTTTATCTTTAATCTTTTAACCATACTATATGGTCTCAATATACGTGGACACATATGTACATACATACAAACATCGTTTATTAAAATCAATGCATTAACTTTTCGAATGAATAAAGCTTGATTTGGCAAGGGACATAGGGATACACTTATTAAGGCACTTGGCCACATCAAGTGGAAAAGAGAACTGGCAAACAGTGAAAACTCCAAAATGGGATAACAAAAATCAAATATATATGTATGTACATTAAATTGAAGCAGAAAAATATTTTTTTCAAATTTAAACTGGACACCCCTTAATTTTCTTATCTTGAGCTGGATAGTAATAAGTTTTTTTTTTATTTAAAAACATTTTTTAGAGTTTGGTACCGAATTTTACAAAATTTTTGAAACAAAAAAAATTCAAAAAATTTGTTTTGCTGAATGAATTGGATAATGTGTTGAAATCTATTGCATATGTATTGATGCCATTAATATCGTCATTAATCAGCTATTGGCAGTAAAAAAAACTGCACACGTCTTTGCGAACAAGTTAACTAAATATATCAACCTCAGCTGAACTTCCAGATTTTCACGCATAGTTCATTTTTTAACAGTAACTGAAAAAAATTTTAATATGAACTAGTTTCTAAGTTTCAATATTATTTGAAAAAACCGACGAATGTAATTTTTGTTAATGTATATTTAACCAAAAAAATGTATTTTCTATTTGTGGTAGCAACCGCCAAACATTACACTAAAATTTGAAAAAAAAAGTTTGTAATAACTATTTTCTAATAATTAATAATTATTTTCTAACAAAGAACAGAATAAGGGGTGTCCGCTTAAAAAAAATTAAATTCTGTTCAATTTTTGGCATAGCCTAATGTACATATTTACGTATTTTTATAATTCTAAAATTAAGAATCTACAAATTTTCCCTCTTTACAGAGGAAAAATTTTAGTTGAGAAGTTTAATTAAAATATCAATTCACGAATTCACGAAAACTTCTATGAAAACGTTTTCAATATTTATGAATATTTATCAAGCCACTCACCTGGCAGCATAATGAGAAGTCCCAGGCCATAAGCCAGCCATATGACGGCGTCAACGGCGGATCTAGAGGATACGTACGGCTCCAAGAAACTCATTCTCCCCAACTAAGTTTGAATAGATTGGCTTGACCGATTTATTTTTTGCCCGGTCTTATCACCTTATTGTATCACTCGAGCTATGGCAGCAATGTGTGCTAATCAGAAATACAAAAATACATCGACAAAGACGAGGATGCTATCTAGACAAATGTCCGGTCGATCGCCGTAATCAATAAGCCACCCAAACTGAATCCGACGGACGAGTAGACAAGCGCTAACAGTTCTCCACGACAAGTGCTCTTTCTTACCTATTTCTTGCCCATTTTATGTCATCACAATCTCTTGATGCTCGAGCGATGTGATAGGATGGGATTGGAATGGTGCTGATGTGATGCCAAAAATTCAACCGTTGGTGTCAGTCAGTGGCTGCTCTTCGGTTTGGTTATCTCGGCATACTTTTCGTGGCGTTCAAGTTTATCGTTGTCCTTTCAGGTATGGGTCTTTAACTTTAAGGTGCCATTTATCAAAAATACCCAGAGAAAATTGTTCGCGTAACCGTTGTAGCTGAACTGTTGCTTTAGTCTGGTTTGGTCTGGGTGCCTTTGCCTGGGTTTAGGTCGGCTCGGTGGTCTCTTGATCTCTGTCCTTATTTCAGACTGTCATGGCAACCCGACAAGGAATTTTTCTTAACATTGGTGACAAGCACTACTTATTGTACTTATTGTGTGTAACTTATCCTTGGCTTGGGGTAGTTTGATTTATGAAGAGATGGGCATCTGCAGAATGTTTCCGGAGTTTACACAGGACTTTTAATTTCTTGTTTCTATCTTGGTCCGGATCAGTCGAGGGATATTGGTTTTACGACACCGCCCTGTATGTTCTGATTGAATATCCAGTCTGATTGCTTTTAAGCTCCGACAATACTCTATCTCAATTAATAGCTTTTCTTAATCGATTTCTTCAAGTGCTTATGCTCAAAAATTGCATTTTTTTCATTCAATATTTGTCACAATCTTCATTCGATGAAAAATGTTGGCGTAGTTCACAGTTGGCATTTTTTTTAGGAGAGCTGCAAAAGAAGTGGGAATAATATATCTTATAACATTTGTATTTAATAAAATGAATTCATCTATGTTCTAATCATGTAGATGTATATGACAGTTGTATACAAAAAATGTAAACTGATAAAATATATAAAAATTCCACATAAATTATAAGCTGACATATGTACAATGTACATACGAGTATATACTGACTGAGCACGGGTATAAAAGTACAGTAGTGGCTACTGCAGCTACTCACAACATCCCCTCTCGTTTTGAAAGCGATTTGGCAGGAAAGTTAAAAGCATTACGTCAGCAGTTATAATTTGCGAATTTCGCAACACATTCAAATTTGAAGAAAGCATGTTAACTCGATCGTTTGGTGGAGCGAGAATAGGTTCTTGAGGCACTAAGCGAGCTTTCCCTTGCTATTGGATTATACCAGAACAGACTTTTTTTCTCTTATAAGTCCTTAATATTCTAACTTTAATCTTAAAAAATACCAAATTCATCCGTGGATAATTGGAAAGCTTTCCTGGGACTATTGGTTTTCAGAAGCGGGAGAGCGGGGTCAATGTCACCAGCAGGACAGATTTTGGTTCAAAAATCATAGTTGCAAAAAAATATATTTTTAAATTTTACGATCGTAACCTAATTTTGAGAGGCAAAAGGGAACACATCTGATCTTGTCGAGTGTGACTGAAGTTCACACCTCTGCATTTTAAGCTAATCTGATTTAAGATGAGTTGGCAGTCCTGATCTAGATGCCGACAAGAGTGTTTGAAAAATGAAGAGAAAAAGAAGCCAATAAAGCAGAACGTTGTGTATTTCAAAATTTCGCACCGGCCCCATCCGCCTTCACAAAGGACGAAAATCTGTGGCATCCACCATTTTGAAGATAAGAGAAAACTAAAAACGCAGTATCGTAGAGAATGACCATATCTATCAAATTGACGATCCTGAATAAGATCTGATCATTATTATAGCCAGAATAAAGAAATTATTTTTCAGTATCTTACACCACCCATCCAGCTCTGCAGACGCTAGTTATTCTCTTTCTTGCTCGCACACACTCTGCCCTGTGCAGTCCGTGACCTTTCGCGGAGAAGATGTAGAATTCTACATAAAGCATAAGCTCACATATTTATATACTGGCTGGGTACAGGACCCGTACTACGGGTATAAAAATATAATGTGCTTACATGTGTGAGTACCCACAGAACCTGCAAGTGCGAGTGTGCGAATAAGACAATTTTCGAGACCGCAAGATGTTTAAAAAAATTTCTTCTTTAAAAATCTTTTCGCGATTGACTGGTTGGATAATAAAATAATTATATTTTCTGTATTCATATTTAAATTCATGGTAATATGTATTAATTAGCATATTAAATAACTGCTTAAATTCGAAAAAGGATTTTCGTGAAGATATCATGTTTTGAAGAGCATAGGCATGGGCATATGTACATATGTAGAAGAAAAGTACTTACAAATATAATAAATTTATATTACTTGGGACTGCCAGCTCTTGCTTTTTATTCATATTACTTGAATTGTAATTGTATTCATTATTAAATTGTATAATCTGGTTCATGGATATATTGTATTTGTGCTATAAGTGGATGTGTGTACCGCATAGAAGGAAACTTTTCCGACCCCATAAAGTATATATATTCTTGATCAGCATCAATAGCCGAGTCGATATAGCCATATCCGTCTGTCAGTCTTGATGAGCGCCTAGATCTCAGAGACTATAGGAGCTAGAGCAACCAAACTTTGAATTACACTTGTAGCACTGTGATATTACATGAGTCTAGAAACCAAATTTGGTTGCTCTAGCTCTTATAGTCTCTGAGATCTAGGCGCTCAACAAGACGGACAGACAGACATGGCTATATCGACTCGGCTATTGATGCTGATCAAGAATATGTATACTTTATGGGGTCTTAAATGTTTCCTTCTCTGTGTTACACACATCCACTTTTACCACAAATACAATATACCCTTTAAGTCTTTTTGAGTACGGATATAAAAAGAAGGGAACTGGCGTGAACTGCTTGAAATTCGAAACCTTCAAAAACTATCCCCAGATGAAATCTGACTCCATTTCTGCACAGTATCTATGTATTTATAATTTATATTGACAGAGATTGGTTTTTGAGTTTAACAATTGAGCATTTTAGATTAGCATCAAATTAAATGTAGGTACTAAATCATTTACTAAAAACATAATAATTACACAGCGCGACAATGTTTTTGTACTCTGCACGAGACAAAAACGAGAAGGAACGTGTGAGTCGCTTCTGGGGACGCGACTCTACTTATACCCGTACTCAGTCAGTATATACATTTTTGAGCTTATGATTTTTTAGAATTTTAGAATTAAAAAATAAAATTTTACATTTTACATTTTTTTGCTGCATATACAATGTATATTCTACATCTAACATGTAGATTGTACATGTACCATTTAGATTCTACATCTCCTCCGCTAGGGGTTGCTCGCGCACTGAACTCGGCAGAGTGTGCGAGCGAGAAGGAAAATGAGTAGCACGGTCGTTGGCAGGAGGGGGCAGGGAAAGCAACTGAAAATGAATTTCTTCATTCTGGCTATAAATTTGATCCGATCTTATTCAGATTCGGCAGTCTGGTAGATTTTGGCATTCTCTAGTTTTAGCGTATCTTTAAAATTGTGGCTGCCACAGATTTTCGTCCTTTGTGGGGGTGAAAAGGGGCGGGGCGAAATTTTGAAATGCACTTGTAGCAGTGTGAAATCACATGAGTCTGGAAACAAAATTTGGTTCCTCTAGCTTTTATAGTCTCTGAGATCCAGGCGTCAAACAAGACGGACAGACAGACATGGCTCTATCGACTCGGCTATTGATGCTGATCAAGAATATATATACTTTATGGGGTCGGAAACGTTTCCTTCTCTTCCTTGCACACATCCACTTTTACCACAAATACAATAGGCCCCTTAACTCTTTTTTGAGTACGGGTATAATTAGGGTGTAGGCCTGAATGAGTATATATCCCCCGCCCCATACCTAAAACTTGCAATATACTCCAAAAAAAAATTGTATTTAAAAATTTAAAAATCGCGATTTCATGGCTTTTCATTTTTTTTATAAGTTTTGCTCGGATAAAAAAGTTAATGGGTTGAAAAGGGAATTTTATAACCTTCCAACTAAATGTACTTACACCTATTCGGTAGTATTGCTCTTTTTTACCTAATGGCTTTCAGATATGATATTCTTATTATCAATAAAATGAATGTAAATAATTGTTTACCAACTAGTATTAAGTGAATGTAAAACTAAGTAGCGCATATTCCATAGTGGGAATATCGGCTTGCGAAGTTCGCAGAACGGCAGCAAAGTTTTCCGATAAATTGCATTACTTTGCAGTTTTGTTTTTTGCTTTGAATGAAATAAACGAAAGAAATAAGTGTCCCGCAGGATGGGGCAAAATGGAAGAACAAAATAGGAAGCTTCCGTCGATACTCAAGTCAGCGACATATGAAACTCTTTGCAAAATGTAGCACATACATACATATTTACACATATATTTATGTCTGTATGTATGTACTTCACTGGCATTCCAACCACAAGAACTCTTGGATTAAGGAAACGTTTTTGCTCGCCGTTCGATTTCTTTCGCCGAGTTGCGGAGCGGTAATCGAAATGGAAGAGAAATACTATGAGTACTACAAAATGAAAATACACGGGGAATTTTATTTTTTGTCGTTGTACTGTACTTAGACTGTCATAGAGGGAGCAGTGATATTTGTTGAGCTGTTAAGTCAAATCCTAATCTTTGCCCCCAGCCCAGCCCATCCACATGCAGATGAAACCAGTGAAGGAGATAGTTTTGCCACGTGTTGATCTATTGTTTGCCTTGTTGCGCATTTGAGCGTGTAATCTTAACTTCTGATTGATGAACATTGATGGCGACACAGGATACAGCCCTACAGGACAAATCTTGTAGGCCCGTAACGCGGAAAAACCTAGTGAAAACTCTCGCAGTTTCCATCGCATTTTCCATAGTATATACCTATAAGTATATATGTATATACATAAATGTGTTCCGAAGTAACGATTTCGAAAATTCAGCAAACCTGAAGGTGTATGTCGGGAAGAATAGCTTTGTGTGTGCCCCAGGAGGCACAAAATTGAGGCGACAATAATTTAACAGTGCTTTTGCCCAGGAATGCGTACTGCTTGGTAATCGTACAAACATATGCCTAAATGTGTGGCTGGATGGGGTCCCACGATTCGGGCGCCCTTTGTAAAGTGACCTTTTTTACACCCAGTGGATGCAAATCGTTATGAAGGTCACAGGCCGAACATACGCACTATTTTCGGCAGCTCTCATATTTGACTTTCCACCATTCCGAGGGGTGGCAGGAAAGAGTTCTGTGCATTGACCTTTTTCCAGCCAAGTTCTGTTATGGTTTAGTGACAGGATTTTGGTGTGCCCCTACGTATGTACATTTATATTAGGCTGTATTAGGCTATTAATTTTAATTAAGAAAATTTAAAAAAAATTTGTTTTGAATGAGTTGGATAACACTACTCGACAAAATCGAACTTTTTTTTCCTCAAGGATCCAAACCGATTTTTTCTGATAGATATGGGGATTTAAAATTTTTTAAAGAATTATGGTTTTTTTTCTATGGCAGAACTTTTTTTTGAAGAATTTTTGAAGTCTGGTATTTTTTTTAAGGTTTTTTCAGAGGTAGCAGCTCTAGTATATTACATCTGGTTGTAAAGAACTTTGCTATTTTGAAAAGATAATTAAAACAGCTATAGTTAGCCCAAACACTTTGTGATTACAGCTTGTCTGGGAAATATAAAGCATTGAAATGCAAAAATGATGATTTTTGAGCGGTATTTTTTACGAATTTAACTTTAAAAATTAAAAAGTCGAAAAAAAATTTTATCTTGTGTCCTATTTTTTTTGTATAGTATTATTTGGCATATTGGTATCGCTCCTTAAAATCTATACTTTGGAGCTAAAATTCGTTAAC